TTTCACAGGCAACAACATATCTTGGCGAACTGGGATTTTTAACGCTTGTGTCCATAAAAACAAAAAATCTAAATGAATTATATGTCCAGCTTGAAATGCGCGTTTCCTTGTCGAAGACCGCACTATAGTATAATGTTCTTATTCAAGCTGAGCAACAACAGTCTCCACACTGAAATGTTTTTAAAAATATAATTTAGCTTTAACTTCATCATATTTTATATTCATTGCCTTGTTATTTAATACATTAATAAAGAAGCACATATATTACTACATAGAAACATTTTTAATCTTCTCTGTAGTACTTAAAAGTAAGAATTGCGCAGGCAAAATTTCCGAAGAAATGTATTCCATATTGTAAATTTAATAGGAAAATAATATTAAAATGGGTCTCGAAGAAATATAGATTGAATTATTATAGGCCGTGCCATATTATAATATGTTACACTATGTTGGTAATTATATGAAAATCATTCTTAGACGGGGGAGGGGTAGAACTAATTCAAATATAAGTACATCAAATAGGCATATACTCGTATCTTTGACTATAGATAGTGTACAAAACTAACATGGCTGTGTTCTGGGATGTTCTGTCATTTACAGTTTGGTAGAAAGATATCAAACCACAGGGCGTCATATCCAAGAACATCATAATCTTCATGTTTATTGCCGTGGGAAACGGAAATCCAAGTGTTTCTATAATGCTGGTAAAATTAATCATATTATAAACCTATAGTTAATTAACGACTTCAATTTTCTCAGGATAGGTCGAATGGCGGACTTCTGCATATTCTTCGATTAAATTCCAGTCTCCATATAATTAGAGCGTGTCTGACTGAGCAGAGGGTTAATGTAAAGTTGTTCCTGTGCTTAACTAATTAAGCACTACGCGAAGAAGGCGTACGAGGTAGTGGCTGCATAGATTCATATTTTCTTGACCTCAGCACTAGCTGTAGGTTAGTGGTTAGCTTCACGTCCCTGCCGCTTTACACCGGTACCCATAGCCGGAAGGTCGCGGGTTCAAGTCCCTATGAGGTCACTGGATTCTTTTCAATTGACCTAATCCTTCCAGCCGCACTATGGCCCTGGACTCGACTCAGCCTCTAACAGAAATGAGTACCAGGCCGGCGCGTACGGCTGA